AGCCATTGAGAATTTGGCGGGAAGTGGTTCTCTCTAGATTTTTCTTACAATTAAAATGAGCACCTTTTTTCTTTCAAAAACTATGAAAAAAATAAGGATTTTATAAGATTTTCAAAAATGGCTTTTTAAACTTATAATAAAATATAATAGAAAATTTACTTCCATACATGTATACTTTCACTTTCTATTTATACTTTAGTAATTTATGCATACCCTATTTTGTACTTCAGGCGCAATTTTCTGTATTGTTTTTATCCTGATGACAGTGCCCTAGGCACCTAAACATGTCGATCTAATTAAATTACTGCAGCAATCCCTAAAGTGTTGTTGTTATAAATTCTTTCAAATTTAGTGTTTTTTATCGTAACAACACTGCATACCCGAGGTATCCACTTTAGGGATTCTATTGTACTGAAGATTTACCAGGCCTTGGTTCACTGTCGTTTATAATTTTATAATAAAATTATGAAAAGAAAAGTAAGGGTTAGCTGGTAAAATTTGTTTAATAAATAAATGGTACCATGTGGATAAAACAAGAGGATTCAGAATATCTGATAAAAAAATCAAAAACAATACAAGGAACATCCTTAAATAACCCTAAAAAGTTGATTTCTGACAAAATATTTAGCATTGTTCCTAATGAAATTTGTGTATTTTTTTTTGTTTTTGTTTAGCTATATAATACATTTAAGGAGGCCTTAATTTGAACTTTGTCATTTTCCAGTGTTTATTTGTCAAACACACAAATAAACAATTTTCAATAGGAACAATGTTGAAAATTTTGTCAGAAATCAACTTTTTACAATTAAATCAGTGTTTATATATTAAACAGATTGAAAATATATTATTAATATTGAATGAATTATCAGTAACAACGTACATCAATTGCAGTTTTTGAGTTGAAAAATGTATTTTCATCTATTTAGAAGATAACTTTTTTACTCAGGTAAATTAATCAATGAGTGATAGATTTCTCTTAGAAGAAGTTTAAAGGTCTCAGTGAATAAGCTACACATAGAACAATAGCTATTGTATTTATTCAATGGGACAATAGAACTGACAAAAGGTTAAATAGATTGACCAATAAGAGATGACTCTGTGGAAAAGTTTCATTTGGGTCGCAATAATTTCATAGATAACCAAAAATATTGAAATGTACAAAATGTAACTATAAGTACAAACAAGTCTATGATGAACATTGCTGGAGGGAATTCATGTATTAAGTCCCAGAGTAAAGCTATAATGATGTCGCTTAACTTTTTGATGAATATTAATTAGCATATCAAAATTTATGTGTTTTGAAAACTGTTGAGGAAAAGGTTATCGAAACAGATCTTCTGAATTAGGCATATATAGAATATATAAATGATTATAGGATGCAGTTGTTCTATCTGTTTACTTAAGAATATTAAACTGACAAAAAATGCATTTCAAAAAGGACAACAGTTCAAAGAATATAGAATTGTTTTTATGCCCCACTTAGGGGCATTATGTTTTTCGGTCTGTGTGTCCAATCGTCCGTCCGTCCATCCGTCCGTTCGGTCGTTTGTTCGTTCGTCCGTCCGTCCCGCCTTAGGTTAAAGTTTTTGGTCAAGGTAGTTTTTGATGAAGTTGAAGTCCAATCAACTTGAAACTTAGTACACATGTTCCCTATGATATGATCTTTCTAATTTTAATGCCAAATTAGAGTTTTGACCCCAATTTCACGGTCCACTGAACATAGAAAATGAAAGTGCGAGTGGGGCATCCGTGTACTATGGACACATTCTTGTTTGATTTTGATTTAATGAGAGATTAAATAAGATTATGTTATAGTGCCAAATGAAGCCAAGGTTGCAACTCCTTCCAGCAATGTTGAACATTATAGACTATATATCTATTATCTATATATCTATTGGTTGTATTTATAGTTCCATTTCAATGTGTTTGGTTATCTATGGATTTTACTAGGTGTTGATTGCAGATCTTTGGTATTCTCTGTTTCATTATTATGTCTTACCTTGACACAATGCTCTGACTGCAAGCTTACCAGTTTTTACTCCAATGCCCTTATGCTGTTTGCTGTGCATAGAACATGTAGAAAGCAAAATTTTATATCTTTGGTTTCAAGCAGTCATTAGGATTGAATGACAACATCCTACACTTAAGATGAGCATGCTACCACAAAACTTCCTCAAGTGTTGTCTATGGAATTTAATTTTAATGAATAGTCAATGGGGAATATATTAAGATTCCTAGAAATTGTTTAATGCTGAACTAAGATATACCGGTACATGTATGTTAAATTCTGTGGTTCAAATACGGTTGGTAAAATTTATTCTTAAATGGCCGATTATGTAGACTTGCAGTATATATATGGCCATTCAAACTCATGGTTTTTGTCAATCTTTGAGGCCTGTACATGGACAGTTAGGTGTCTAATTAGGTTATCTAATGTTGTTGGGTTGTTGTCTCAGTGAATTACCTCAGTTCTTTCATTCAAATTAAATTACTGACTATTGACTGGGGTTAACAGAAATATGACACCGTGGGTAACTTATGGTTTGTTAGAAAACTATAAATATTTCCCTGCTGTTGTGTTATGAATAGATTTTGCTCACCTGGCCTTAAAGGCCTTTTGCCATCCCTTTATTTCAATCATCTGTCTGTCCGACGTTCATCCGTCCGTCGTCTGGTGTAAACTTTATCAAAGATCTTCTCCATTGAAACCACAGGATCAATTTCAAGTAAACTTGGGCTAAATGATCCTTAGGGTATCTAGTGTGAAGTTTGTGTTTTTTATTCTTGTCCACCATGGCTAAAAAAAGAATATGGGAGGAAATGCAGTTTTTGGCTTACATCTCAAAAACTAAAGCAGTTAGAGCAATTCTGACATGGAAACAAATGATCAGCAGGTCAAGGTCTATCTCCTGCAGAATTTAAAAAAAATCAGATGACCTAATTTGGAGCTATTGTGCCTGAAAGATATTTTGTTTGCAAACTTCACTGTTTTTACTAAATATCTTGAAAATATAACAGATACACATAAATTTCGAACAGTAAAAGTCCAGAACAATAAGATCTACAAATAAGCCAGAAACTGTCAAACTGTCAAATGACCCCTTATAGGAGTTATTGCCCTTGATTTGATTCTTACCCTTTTTGCCTTTTTTTTAAAGATAACTGTAGTTGATAGAGAGAATCATTTAATAGTTAAAATGTTCAACAAAATATGATCTACAAATAAGTCAACATAGATGAATCGTCAGTTGACCCCTTATAGGAGTTATTGCCAACAAAAAACTAATAATACCAATTTTGAGTGTTTTTTTTTTGCAACAACTTGAGAAATTCTAGAAAGCTTAAGTGTTCAGCAAAATAAGATCCAAAATAAGTCTCTTGGCCCAAATTGTCGATTGACCCCTAATACATGTAATAGGCTTTTCAAGGAGAAATTTTAAAGGTCCCATAGAATAAACTCCACAGAGAACAATAGCTATTGTATTTATACAATGGGACAGGTCAACTTGCAAAAATTTAAATAGCCTGACAAAGATCAACTGATTCTGGGGTAAATTAAGGTTTCATATCTTTCCCAATAATAGAAAGGCATAAGAAAAAGAGAGGCAAAAGATACCAAAGGGACATTCAAACTCATAAGATGAAAATAAACTGACAATGCCATGGCAAAAGAGGAAAAATACCAAAAGACATACAACAGTTCACAAAATACAACATAGAAAACTCAAGACTTAGCAACACGAACCCCACCAAAAACCGGGGTTGATCAGCATAGATCAGGTGCTCCGGAAGGGTAAGCAGATCCTGCTCCACATGTGGCAACCGTTGTGTTGTTCATGTAAGTACAAACTCGGTGCTAAGTCTAATTTGGTAGGTCACATTCGTGGGAAGAGGACGAGATTGTAGTAACGACAATTTTAACATATCCGTCGTCATCTGTCAAACAGATATTTCAAAACAGTCAACCAACATGCGATGGCGTATGTAAAATTTATGAAGGGATGATTTCAACTTCACCACTTTGAACTCTTGGTTTAATAGCTTCCTTGTGAGCAGCAACCCTCAGTCTATCGGAAATCATGATAGGAAATACAAGCCCTGAAATATCGTATCAACTGGGAGATATATACTCCATATGCAGACGCTGCCAGAATGTTGCTACATAGAATTGGAAAGTTCACAATTGGGAAGCTAAAATCATCTCTTTTGTAGTAAAGTTTTGTTTTCAACCGACCCTCATTGTCAATTTCTAGATGTAAGTCAAGATATGAGGCAGACTTAACTGTATCTGTTGTATCCTTTATCCTCAAGTTCAATGGGATAAACTGTCAACAGTAAGATAGGATCATCAGTACAAGACCTACAAAAATGTCACAAAATAAGATAGATCTACAAATAAGCAAACATAACTAATTGTAATAAATTTTTTTTTATCAAAATGGCATATGTTTACCAGGTGTGCGATTCAGGCTCTAGGTAGCCTCTTGTTTATCAATCAGAATTTGTGGAGAAATCAGCAACTTGTGTGTAGTTTTAGAAGGTGATACAATATTGACAGAGGAAAAATGCAATTTCTCAAATTTTTTCACTATTTTTTAAATTTCCCAACCGATTGTGAAAAATTGTTCTCCTCACTAGTGAAATAACTGTTCTCAGCAAATGATTGGTTGAAATTTGATTATGACGTCAAATTTTCTTGGTTTCTTCTGAATTTCCTATTGTGACGTCATGAAAAAAGGCGACCATGCCTGATGACATAACATATAAAGAACACAACTTTCTACAAATCTTTGAAAAGGAAGGATAAAAATCATTAGAGAAACTCATGTATTACGATATTCCTCCACTCTCAACAGTTAAATTTTAATTATTTAAAAAGCTCGGCAAGCCATGCGCTTTAAATAAACAAATTTAACTGTCTAGAGTGGAGAAATATCGTAACACACTTGTTGCAGTGGTAGAATCTATATTTCTATAATTCACATAATTTATATTTTCAGATAGATAGATAGATGTTTAACATTTTGGTAGGACATATTACCCTACAGAACACAATTAATAAGTGTCCTGATATTTTGTAGTCTGCTGAACATCCCTGTTCAAATAAAGTATTTTGATTTGTCTATGGCAGACATTCTGATACCATTTGTCAGTGTCGTAACAGAGGAATGTCTGGTCAAGGAAATCAAAGAAATCAGACTAATTCTGTAAGGGGATCTGGTAGTGATCAAAAGGGTAGCAGAAGTACTAGTCAGCCTGATCAACAGAATAATAAACATCAAAATGATCATGAGGGTAAACAATCAGTAAAAAATGACAGTGAGAAACAAAACTCATTTTATCAAAACAGTGACAATTTAAATGGTTTAGTGGACGTGGAAACTGTAAAAAGAATAGTTAAAGAAGAATTAAGTAAAGATAAAAGATCATTTACAAAAATGCAGACTGGATTAATGTAAGTCATAATATATATATATATATATCAGTCAGGATTCTCCTTCGTCAAAATTATCTCCCCATTACGCCAGTTCATTTTTACAATCGTAAAAATGGAAGCCATTGTAGGGATGACGCGCTTCCAATTTAGCTCTTGAAAACCGATAAATTTATCCACATAGCACCATTACGATCCTTATATGCCAGGTGTATTTTAAAAGACAAATGTATCTACTAGCTAATGAGCATCAGTTAATGTACTTGTCTGCATTCAATCAACTAAAAACTATTGTCGGATCGTTTGTCAGGTGGAATTTTCGGAAATTCATAAACATTTAAAAAAATTCTAATTAAATATTTCGTGGAAGGGCAGACTAAAAATTTTCAGTGGTTGAAGACTATAAACCCTAATTATCACACACAAAAAATGAAGTTTATTCGAAGATATGCATTTTTAAAATCCAACTTAAAAGTCAGTCGTCAAGTACTTTTAGTAAAAATTTGCCATTCGAACACACCTACTCTGTTTTTGTGATTCATTAGAAAGGTATTTCACTTGACCCATATATCTAATTTTTTAGTACTGTGAACTTTCGATGTTATAAAGTCAACTTGCAGCCTTGATATATAAAAATAATAGAATCTGAAGCGAGATGATGTATCAAATACTCTTGCTTTATACGTTTTCAAGACAAAATATTTAACTCAAACACGCCCTAACATAAAAAGGTGCACTCGATTTTATCTTTTCGGTGCAATTGTTACCCATTTTTTTGAATTTTTTCTTGAGTTACATAATGGAAGGGCGGAAACGAAAATTAAGGAACAAATAGAGTGATATGTTCTCCGTCCGTGGTAAAAAAAAAAAAAATCGGAGGTTATGCATTTTTTAGATCCAGCTGAATAGACATCCATGTCGTCGACTTGATATCTAATTGTTCTGCTTAATTATATAATAGATAAATTGAAAACTTATGCAAATTGTGTTTTTATGATAAAATACTTTGTAATTTAGACAAAAACTGTCATTTTATTTGTTTCTATTAACTTTTAAAAATTTTGTTACTATAGTAAACATTACAGTAAGCATTTATCGCCTTCTCTAACAAAGAGCTTCGATTCTTTTGTTCTATTTCAACTGGGTTTCCGCCTGTATATATCACACAGAGGATATGTTACAAAATTTACATCTAAAAATCCATTTAATGATAAATGAAAGTACAACTTCATAAGTTTCGTCAATCCTGGATCTGGATTTACATTCACTAGAACTCTCTAACACAAAGGCACTGGGAATACAAATAGGTAGAACTGTTTGGAGCTTTATGACCAATTGGCACCTAAAAGAATAGCCAAATTTAGCTAGGGTCAACATTGCATAAGGAATTTGCAGTTGAAGTTTCTTTTAAGTAATTTCTTAATCTATCAGCAGGGAATTTTAGAAAATATATTTAAAAATCATGTCAGTACAGAAGCACTGACTACTGAGCTGATCATACCCTCTGGGACTAACTGTTCACCAGCAGTGGTATCAACACAGTGAGCTGATCATACTCTCTGGGACTAACTGTCCACCAGCAGTGGTATCAACCCAGTTCTTATTTGTTAATGATAATAACACTATAAGTTTTATGATAGACAGAAAATGAGAGAAAAGACATGCATACTTAAGTAAAAATTACAAAATACATATAAATTTACAACTTTTATTATTGGTTTTGTTTAACCTTTTTAAAAGATTTACATAGAGATTCACATTGTACTCGTAGAGTATATTTAAACAAAATCAATCAATGTGAGATAACTTAATATTTTGACTCTTCTTCAGTAATCTTACAGAATAGAAAAAATAAATCATCAACCTGCCTTTAATTTTTTAGATATTGACCCAAATATAAATATGTACAATTTTGTAACACTCTCAAACATTATGTCAAACATGTCTAACCACCAAACCTGTCTGATGACCATTACACTCAAACCTGTCTGCCTAGCAGAAACATGACCATGACACTCAAACCTGTCTGCCTAGCAGAAACATGACCATTACACTCCAACCTGTCTGCGTAGCAGAAACATGACCATGACACTCCAACCTGTCTGCCTAGCAGAAACATGACCATTACACTCCCACCTGTCTGCCTAGCAGAAACATGACCATTACACTCCCACCTGTCTGCCTAGCAGAAACATGACCATTACACTCCAACCTGTCTGCCCAGCAGAAACATGACCATTACACTCCAACCTGTCTGCCTAGCAGAAACATGACCATTACACTCCAACCTGTCTGCCTAGCAGAAACATGACCATTACACTCCAACCTGTCTGCCTAGCAGAAACATGACCATTACACTCCAACCTGTCTGCCTAGCAGAAAAATGACCATTACACTCCAACCTGTCTGCCCAGCAGAAACATGACCATTACACTCCAACCTGTCTGCCTAGCAGAAACATGACCATTACACTCCAACCTGTCTGCCTAGCAGAAACATGACCATTACACTCCAACCTGTCTGCCTAGCAGAAACATGACCATTACACTCAAACCTGTCATTAAATTCAAGACACATCTCTGAGTGTTATGATGAAAGCAAGATAACATGAAATGAAAAAAAACCTGTCAACCACTGTTTACTTTTGGTTATGGCTTTCTTCCAAAAAAAAATTGAGAAGGGTTGAGGTATCTTTAAAGACAGTATCTTTAAAAGTAGAATTTTGTAGTCATTTGATATTAACAACCAAAAGAACCATGACAGCTAGTTGATTGTCAAAATGAAAAAGATGTTTGAGTTGCGTACATTAGTTCACATTTTCAAAAATACCTATTTTAATAAATGTCAGATACATTTTTAATTAATACTTGTTCAACTGCCATCTTGAATTATAAAATAGCAGTTCACAATAGGTCCAATTCTTTGCTTAAATCAGCAAATTTTGAGACAGATTGGTAATTAATGGGTTAGACTGTTTATTGGAATAAAGAAAAATAAGTGATTTATTGCATTATAAAGACTGATTCATCAAAAACCAAATATTTGTGTTTATTCGAATCAAATTGTCAACAGCCATTTATAAGGGGAGATAACTCAAATAGTAAATTTTTCATGAAAGAAATGATAGAGAAATTTTCAATTTTTACTTTTTACAGATATTTCAAAGAAACTAAAGGTTAAAGTGGTATGGTAACTAAAACTGGTTTAACCCCACCACATTTTGTGTCTGTACCAAGTCAGCCTATCTGGATCAAGTGCTGTATGTCTTTGTTTGTTTGTAAACTTCTTGGTACAGTGGGGGATTGGTGTTTGCTGTGTTCAGTTTTTTTGGCAATACATGCATCTGGTATCCATTTTTATACATTAAAAACATCAGAAATAGACTATTATATATATATTAACATCTCTTCTCTGACCTTTTGAAAATACATTTTTAAAAGATATACGAGGTATACATAACTGAGACAGCTACCCAACAACACAGAAAAAAAACAACAGCAATTAAAAACTGAAGAATTTCTTGGATTACTAACTTACTTTGAGTTACTCTATATTTCAGATCATTCGCCTTCTTTCTAGGAGGAGGATTGATGTCATATTGGTGGACTCCACACTATACAAATACAACTTATGTACTAAGTGATAATACTACTCATACAAGTATAGTCATGGAAGACGTGACACAGAAACTTTCACAATGTCAAGCCAACTTGACACGGATAAAGCAAGATTTCAGTCATGTACAAGATAATTTTATTCATTTGAAAAATGATGTCACAGAGGTATCTAATGGTATAACTGGTACCATTGAAGATGTGAAAGAAGAACTCAAAGACGATTACCTTCTGTTGAAAAGGGACATGAATATCTTGACTGGAACACAGCAAATCCATGACAATAGATACATAACATATTCTGGTAAGAACATTTTTTTTAGTTCACTACTTCAAAAGGACAATATACTTATATTATGCCAAAAATAATATTTGAATTGTTTGATGTTGCCTACCTACCCACCTAAAAAGCAGCCTACATGAAAACTTTTATGACACAAATTGTTTCAAATTTTAAAAAGATTTTTTCCTACTCTCAGGTCGTTTTCTTTTATAAAACATGTAACTTATGTTGTTTGAAAAAAAAAGAATTCCTACCTACCTATCTAAGCCTACAAGGCATGGGTAGAAAAAAATCAAGCAAAGAATTTGTTAAGGGTGGCATCTGTACTGTTTTCTCTGTCCTCGTTTGTAATGATTCATGGTCAGTATTTCTCTTCTCAATCATTGGTCAATTTTTTGCTTAAAATCACTAACACCAAAAAAAAAAAAAAAAGTACAATGTACAGATATTTAGCCCTTGATTTGCTGAGAGGAATTGTTTTTCATTTATGACCTTAAAAAGTAACATGCTCTCTGATTGAAATCCAAGGATAATTACTTATGATAGGTCGTTGGTTTTGAGATTTTTTTACCTCTCAGTTTCAATTTTAAAAATTTTCATAAAGAAAATTAAGATTTCTGATAACAGAACTTTTTTTTTTAATATGATATAAAACAAGGGGTCAAGAGGTAACAATGCTGTCATCATTGTAATAACGGTCTATTACATGTAGAGATTTATTAGTCCCCTACCGACGAAGTCGAAGGGGACTTTAGGTTTGCACTCCCTCAGTCTGTCTGTCTGTCTGTCAGTCCGGCAAATCAGTTTTCCAGACTTTTTTTCTTCGTGCTTGGAGATATTGATTTGATATTTAGTTTTTGATTTATCATGACAAGTTACAGGTCAAGTTCAATTTTCACGATTTTTAGCTTTTCTCTTTGTTCAGTTAAAGCCCTTTCCCTAGAATTAAATTTTTGATGAAATACTTATTAATTAGTAGATTTCTGTTCAAAGGGAAATAACTCATTTTTTAAAAGACAAAATGACATTTTGAATTTATTTACTTTTCTTTTAGTAAATTGTTTGAAGAATTCAGTGGTAGGTTTGTTTGTCATTCTTGAAGATATTGATTTGATAATTAGTATATAGTTTTATCATGACAAATTACAGATCAAGTTGGAATTTTGTTCCAGTCTGATAATTTGTGCAGAGTTATGGTCTTTGGACATAGAAAATTCATTTAAATAATCAGTTTTCAACAGTTTTTTTCGTCATGCTTGCAGATTTTGACTTGATATTTTTATGTAGTTACACCATGACAAGTTATAGATCAAGTTAGAATTTCGTTCCATTACAATGAATTTGTAACCGGTAGGGGACTATGTATTGCCATGCAATACTCACAGAATGCTTGTTCAAATTGTTTTTGGTAAAATAAAGTAAATAAACGGATGATATGCACCAGTGTACTTAATTCAATAAAAATGCATGTCTTATGTTTCTGAAGTGTTTACAAATACAATGTATATCATAGGGAATTCTATCAAACAAAAATGGAGAATGTGTCCAAGGGACACAGATGATGCCCCAGCTTGCATATAATGTTATAAAGGGACATAACTCAAGAACGGTAAAAGTGAAGCCACCCAAATTCAAACTTGATCGAAGTTTTGTGGTAATAAGCATTGTGTATTAGTTTTATACATTTGGTTGAGGCAAACTTAAGTTAGAGAAGGAAACAAAAAATTTAACAATTTTTCCATTTGTAAAGGGGCATAACTCTAGAACAGTAAAAATGACACCACCCAAATTCGAACTTGATCTGTGTTTTGTGGTAACAAGCAATTTGTGTTTAAGTTTCATAACATTGGTGGGGGCAAACTAAAGTTAAAGAACGGAAATCAATTTTGGAACGTACAGACAGACAAGAGTAAAACTTAATGCCCCCTATTGTAAGAAGAAAGAAATCAACAGACAAAACCATGCATTACAATTAGAACTAATTCCTAGAGTATCTTAGAATTTTTATGATAACAAAATGCACAACATGACTTTGTTGATAAATCTTTCTATTTTCTTATCGTACACAACATACACAAGCTTGCTGTAGAGGTTAAATCTGTTTTATTTTAAACTGCAAATTTTCAGAAACTTTCTCTCGATTATGATAAAAAGTAATTGACACAATATTTTTTTTTACAGAAACAATCTTTTTTCTAGTAGCTGGTTTAATCCTAGAGCCATTGATAATTTTTCTGTTGTATAAATATTTTCAATGGAGAAATGGTAGTCATCATGGTCCAGATGCATATGTCCATGATTGTCCAAATGCACTGCCACAGTTCAATGATGTACAACATGTAAGTATGTTGTAGAGGAATGGTTGTCATGGTGATCAAATCAATTTAATACTTGTAAATATAGTTTGGAAAAATGGTAGTCGGATAAAGGTACTTCATGTGCATAGTGTGTAAAATAAGTAGTCATGATGACAATACCAATTTAAAAAGGATAGTTATTGCAATCTGCTTAATGTACTACATTTGTACATGTAAAGATAGTGTGGAGGTAATCAAGTTGATCAGATCGCTTTACACTTGTAGATAGAAGCAAGATATGATGGTCTAAATTGTTGATCAGATCAAATTAGGAAAGAAAACAAATGCCAATCTAAGTGCCAAAAAATTTTTTTTTTCTTAGACCCTTAAACTTTTCAAACTGCACAGGTTTGTCTGTACTCAAAATAATGTTTATACAGACACTTATGTCCAAGATGAACCTTAATAAAACATTTGACATAATATATGAAAATTATGACAATGTTATTACTAATGGTGATTTCAATTACGACTGTCTAGAAAAAAAAAGTGTATGTCTTTGAAAACTATGGGTTTGGTTTTTCAAAACTTTAATTTCCATTTCAGCAGAACAGGCAGAATCAGCCAAGAAGAATGAATACTATACTGGATCAGATCTACAGTGGGAACTTGGAGGAATCTATTTGTATCCTTAGTTTCTATGGAGAAACACAGGATTTACATTACAGAATATTAACATCAGCATTGCAACAGAAAGAAATTCCAATGAAGCCATTCTTATTAAAGGTCACTGATCCAGATGCAAAGTCTATACCAAGATGTCACTTTGTTTTTGTATTTGTTGATTTTAATGAAAGGAATGTTATTCTAGAGAATCCTGACCAAGAACTTGGTGATAAGAAAGTAGTAACTGTCAAGGCTTGTCAGAAAATGGGAGGTGAGGCAATAAGTACAATTATTAAATATCCACAAGCAGCAAGTTAAATTTACAGGAGGAATCCCCTGTGTCCATGTGGCTGGTGCATTACCTGATTTTGTCATATCTGCAATGTAACAGATATAGAATTTTTTCTTGTTAGTTTTTTAGGGTTCAGAAAAGGTTAAAATTGATAAGTTAAAGCATAGATTTATAATTACAATCCCAAACTTGACCATCTTCTTTGAAGTTATGACATCTTCGAATAGAATTGTTTCATTTTAAGACAAATGTCTTCAAAATGGAATATCTTTTGCTTCACATCCATGGTGGTCTGTTTGGTTCAAACTGAATAGTATTTCCTTGTATAATATCTTTCCTTTATTCAACTCGTCCTGAATATGCATGAAATATTTGCCACTGGACGTTAACGAACCAACCATCAATCAATCCTTTATTCAAAACTTACTATTTTCAGAAGGCATGCGTGAAATCATCGGACGTTTAAAGAACTGTCAAAACACGGTCTATTAAATTTTGAACACCTTACACAAAATCTTCAGGGAGATTGCATGAAATCAAAGTCTGTCATGAATTTGTTCACAAAATATTGTATAACTATTGGTTTCATGAGTTTAACAAAAATTAATAAGCGTATCAAAAAGTCTTAGGTGTACAGATACACTAGACGTACAGATAAACAGGATGGACAAAATTATTTGTCTGCATTAATATTGAATGTGATCTTTCTGAACTTATCGATTCAGTAACTAATAAAGCCAGAAAGAAAGAAATAATAGTGTCGAATCTGTCTAAACCATTTAAAATTTTAAAAAGCAGATTTTTAGCTTTAGTACCTAGCCAAAAGGAGCATTGTTAATTATTGCTTGGCATCCATTATAAAAATAAGGAGATGTGGTATGATTGCCAATGAGACAACTATCCATCAAAGTTCAAATGAAGTGGATGTAATCAATTATAGGCAATCGTACGGCCTTCAAAAATGAAAAAAACTTATACCGTATAGTTGGCTATAAAAGGCCCTGACATGAAAAATATGAAACAATTCAATTGAGAAAACTAACGGCCTAATTTATAACAAAATAATTTACGAAAAAAAAATATTACAGACATGAACCAACGACAACCACAGAACTACAGGCTCCTGATTGTCTTTTAACTGTAACTAAAATCTTCTTCTCTGAAACAACTTGGCCAGGATCATCCTAAATATATAGTATTATGGTCAGAAATGCATGAAATCTTCAGCTGACACCCCTCATGAGTTATCGCCCTTCAGTGAAGAGTTTACTGCACATTTATGTTTGTTAGATAGAGTGAAATTGTATACAGTAAAATTATCAGAAATAAAAATAACAAATTGGTGAACATGGACAAAATTGTAAGTAGACTTGCATTTTTTGCATTTTTGGTTGAAACTGGAATTGATAGAGTGAAACTGTAAGCAGCAAAAATGATCAACAAAATAAGATCTAGATCTACACTCAAGGCAATAGGATTAAAATAGTAAATTAACTTCTTTTAGCAACTGTTACCCCTATATCAAATTTTTTACCCAATCATTTTCTTTTTCATTTTTGGTTATATAAATCATGAAAAGGTTAATGGGTAGACAAAAACTCTATCCAGAAAAAATGATCAGTAAGAAAAGACTTTGGCCTGCACAAGTTCCCATCCTGCACTAATTAGTACTAATATTTTTGTTGCAGTGTATCAGTTTTATGCAAATATGGGAATCTTATACCCTCTAGTTATATTTAGCCATAGAGTTATGTGTTGTTGTGCTTATGTTTTAATCATTACACACAATGCTGGTTTTTTTTTCATTACCTTGTGTTCCAAATGAACTGTTATGTTAAAACCATTTAATTTTGTGTAAAAAAACTTATCAAAGACACCAGACATACCAGACATGCGTTTCGTCTATAAAAGACCCATCAGTGACACTTTAAATAAATTCCAAAATTTTTTAAAAAAGCCAAATAAAGTACAAAAAAGAGCATTGATGACCGAAAATTCCCAAAAGTTTTGCCAAATACAGCTATGGTAATCAGTACCTAGGGTAGAAAATCCTAAGTATTTCGAACAAGATAATGTTTAATTTGTGAACAATTGATTTACCAGTTGATTTTATGTAATAATTCATGTCAACACAGAAGTGCTGACTTCTGGGCTGGTGATAAAATGAAGACCGATGTTAATTTTAGGGGTTCATCTGTTATGACAGGTAGGCTTGAAAGAGGGGACTGTCATTATATAATGGTTGCAAATTCACATCATGTGCTCAATTTTTAATGCCCCCTCTATTTCCAGATCTGCTGGATATTGGAAACAATTGCCTTTTTCTAATTTAATGGGCTTCCAAGAAGAATTGTACAGTATCAGTTACATAGAATAGTTTTATTTTAGTGAATGATAAAAACTGAAATTGGGTATTTTTTTTACCTTACTGCTTAGTCACAGTTAAAAAATCTAAAACAAAACATATTCATGATTCAGGTTTTCAGCACATTCAACCACTTCAAGTGTGTCTTTATTATTATACCCCTGCTTTAAAAAAGTGGGGGTATACTGTTTTACCTCTGTCTGTCCGTCTGTCGGTCCCATGAATATTTTTCGTTGCATTTTTCTCAGGAACTACATCATAAAGATTTCCGAAATTTGGTTTCAGGGTTTATATAAGTCAGCTATATCATGTGATGAGTTTTCAGATTCATCACTGAACAAATTCCTGTTTAACGAACACTTACATATCTTTACACTATTAAAATTATCCACTTGCGGCAGGGGTATCATCAGTGAGCAGTAGCTCGCAGTTTCACTTGTTTAAAACTTTTCTTCATTCATTTACAGCTGATGTGTTTGTTATATACACAAGAGACAGAGATTCTGGTAATTTAGGTGACGGCAAGCTGTACAACAAGGAGTTGTCAGCCTTTACAAAGCATTTTCTATTGAAAGAACTAACAGCTAAAAACAGAGGACTAAGTGTAAATGATACATTTACCCCATACCAGAAACGTCACATCAAGAGAATTGTACTGAAAAAATGACAAAGTACTGTTTTATTTATCAGTGTTTTTTTAATGATTTAAACATTCACAACTCATATAATGACCACTTACAGTATTGTTATAACTTAGAGGCTATTGCAGAAATGACAAAATGAGGGGATCCAGAGGCATTTTACTAGAATATATGGTTGTTGGAGCATATTTGGCTTGAGGCATTAGAAAATGATATAGGTCTGCAAAATGTGCCCCTTACACCCCTAATGTAATTATTTCTGGATAAGCCAATTAATATACTGATACACCAATAAGCTTTCATTGTTGTCTTAACAATACATAAAAAATACTTACTCAAACTTACTTTAGAGTACTATAGTTATAACTTAAGTAAAGTGATTTTAGGAATTAAAGACACCTCTAATTTATTACTAGTTTATGAAAACTTTGGGCCTGCTGTTAAGTCTGTTTACAAAGTTCTTCAATTTTTAGAAAGCTAATAGCTTGCGACAAACTTGCGGCAAACATTTACATTTGTTTGCCGAAAGGTTGCTGCTAGCGGCTAACACTGGTGAACAACTTTCAGGTCTTCTGGCAAACTGAAAAGATTGCCTCAAGTTTGCTGCTACCTTACCGCACTTTTCATGTACAATTTCATAGTTTTTTATGGTACATATGTACCAGCAAAAACGTATTTATAGTAAAATACTAGTTATAATATTATAAAACATTAAAAATAGAAAATTGCAACTAAGCCAGGACTAAACAAACTGTGAAATTTGGATGCTTGGACAACTGATAGATTTTAGTATGCTGATAAATTCACATTGAACGAATAAATTGCCAGAATACATGAACGAATAAATTGCCAGAATACATAGTAGATAAAACTAAGCCATAATAAGTTTAACCTTTCCAGAAAGGTATGGAGTGCTTTGCAGTACATGTATCATAAAATTTTCGTCAGCTTTTGTTTTTGAGTTTTGTGATTTCATGGTTATTATGTAATGACAGATGATATGATATTAACATTATACATATATAAGATGTATAGAAATTAACGTGTAGTGCAGATCATGCAAAGGGGATGCTAAGTAATAAATGTATATATCTTATATCTATATATTCATCAATCAGGTTTAGAATACCAATACTGATATTTTATTGCTCGTCCCCTTCCAGATGTGTTCCCAATTTTATTACAAAATTACTCATTCATGCAAACAGAATTTAGCCACACCATTAAGTAGCCTATCAGAACTAACTGTTGTTAAGTGACAGTTTCAGGATGGCGTGTACTAGAATATTAACTGAAACTAATAGCCTCGCACTGTGATGAGAAGCAAAAGCTACAAATCAAATGACAAAATGCAAATTGAAATTTTAACTTCTCCTAACTTGTAAAGAACAGATTTGTCATGAAAGATTCTTAATGGAAGATTCTTGTACAATACATCAGTTTAGATGAATATATTAGTTGTTAATATAATAATCTATTTATATCAATAATTTTAAAACTCTGTAAATAGTTATCAAAGGTACCAGGCTTATAATTTGATAAGCCAGACGCTTGTTTCGTCTACATAAGACTTATCAGTGAGGCTCAGATCAAAATAGTTAGAAAGCCAAACAAGTACAAAGTTGAAGAGCATTGAGGACCCAAAATTCCAAAAAGTTGTGCCAAATACGCCTAAGGTAATCTATGCCTGGGATAAGAACATTCTTAGTATTTCAAATAATTCCAACTTGTGTAAATGTGGGTAACTATGTAGATGCAGGAATTTGCTTTTCTATGAATTTTTTTCTCTGTTTTTCTGTCTAGACCATTTTCTTTGTGTGTAATTGCTTTAAACCTTGATAGACTATTGATTATCATGATATAAACCATTTCAGAATTATTGCTCTTTAAAGTTCAGTTGCAAATTTTCATGATTACTGTTTTAATAATACATATGAACTTGCAATACCCTATCAATAAATAATTCACATCATTGAAAACATTTTTTTTTTCACCTACTAAAAATTATAGCTCCATATCAGACCATCCTATTCATTGAATATTCAATATTTTGATGTAAATTTTTATTATTGTTTATTAATTTTTTTTTAATGTTTAACCCATATTTGTTAACATGCTGAAAATTGGAAAAACAAACATACAGATGGAAACTCCAGTACATGAAAAGGTGGATTGAAAAATAGCAAAAGAGGTGTGTTATTTTTCAATAGATTTTTGGCCATTTAAGGCAAAGCATCTGTAATTTGGAGGTATTTTTTTTTTTATTGAATTTTGTATGCATTCAGAACTTGTTGAACTGTTTTGAATATCTAAAAACATGATATATATATTTGTACTTTTAGAGATACAATCAATTATAAATTTGAAAAATAGGTCTAAAATGTATATAGTGTATTTTAATAAGGAGACATATACATTGTATATGCATTATTTTCATTTCTGATTATTATTTTTCATAAATCAACAAATAAAATACTTAGTATATGATTTCAGCTTGATTAACCATATTCTGCTTTCAGTTTGATTGTGTGTAATTTTTTTACGTGCTGAGTAAAGGGGTGTTTTGTTATCAATATTACAAATTTAAAAATAAAGTTTATTTCATTTCATCTCTTTTTTATCCTTACTGTTGCTACTACAGGATGATCTAGGTAAAACTGAGTTCCATTGTTGAAGGTCATATCACTGACCCCTAAATGTCTTTTGAGTTGCTAAGTTGATGTCTCATTAGATTTTACGTGATCTGAAAATTTAAGCAGATGCTGCTCCACTAGTTGCATCTAAGAAACTTAAAAATCTGTAATGATTTGCATTTGGTGATGTCAAAATAGAGGTAAAGATGCTGGGAATTTAGCTTTGACAAAATATCCGTGGTCATCTGTGACTCAGATATTTTAAAATGGTCAACAACATCATGATTGCCTCTGTTAAACATTTGTAGTGACGACTTTAACTTTACCATTTGGAGCTCTTGGCTTAACAGCTAACCTGTAAGCAGCAAGGGAATGATAGGAAACCTATGTCCTGGAAATGCCATCATCTGGGAGTTATATACTCCATATTTAGCAACTGCTGGAATGGTGCTACAAATAAATGGAAAGTTTTCAATGAAGAAATTAAAATCATCCTTAGAAGTGCACATCATTGAAACAGCAATAAAAGATCTTCAAATACATCACATGACCAAAACCATCAATTGACACCTCATAGGCCATTATTACCCTTAACAGCGATTTATGATTATTTTTGTCAATGCGTCGTCCGTCTGGTGTAAACTTTTCAAAGATTTCTGTAATCGCTAAACCAATTTCAACAAAACTTTTTATTCTTATCCATCAAGAAACATGACCATCATGGCTAATAATATAACATGGGAGTAACACGCAGTTTGCGGCTTATATCACAAAACCTAAAGCTGTTAGATCAAAACTGATATGGAAAAAAAGTATTAGCAGGTCAAGGTAAAATTGAGAATGGAAATGGGGAATATGTCAAAGAGACAACAACCCGACCAAAGAGCAGACAACAGCCGAAGGCCACCAATAGGTCTTGAACGCAGCGAGAAAATCCCGCACCCGGAGGTGGTCCTCAGCTGGCCCCTAAATAAAATTGTGTACTAGTTCAGTGAAAATGGACGTCACACTAAACTCCAAAACATATAAATGAACTAAAATTAAAAAAAAAAATACAAGACTAACAAAGGCCAGAGGCTCCTGATTTGGTACAGGCGCAAAAATGCGGCGGGGTTAAACATGTTTTGTGAGATCTCAGCCCTCCCCCTATACCTCTAGCCAATGTAGAATAAAGAAACACATAGCAATACGCACAGTAAAACTCAGTTCAAAAGAAGTCCGAGTCCGATGTCAGAACGAAAGAAACTAAGCAAAATGACAATGATACATAAATGAACAAAGGACTACTAGCATGCAGTTACTGGCATGCCAGCTCCAGACCTCAATTAAACTGATAGACAGATTATGTCTTCATCATATGAAAACCAAGTACAATCCCTCCCGTAAGGGGTTAAGTATCATACCATCATAAAATATATGAGAAGACCATAACCCGTATCATGCCAACAACTGGATTTAGAATAAATGTGTTTATTTCCGATGCAAAGACCCTATGAGTGAATCAATATTAATACCAAAATATGCAATCCTTAATGACTTCACAACAGTATCGTAACTATATCCTTTCCGAATAAGTATGTTTAAAGGTTTGGATAGCTTTTGAGGTGAATGCCGACATTGTTGTGCTTTGTTAAGAATATTACCATAAAATATTGGATGTGAAATACCCGAACGTATAAGATGTCTGCATGTTGATTTATATTTACGAATGATGTCCTTGTACCGATGATAAAATTTAGTAAATGTTTTGACTAGTTTGTGATATCAAAAACCCTGGTGTGATAATTTTTCAGTAATACAGAGATTTCGTTCGTTGAAATCAAATACGTTGTTACATACGAATCGAACAAGTTGAGATATATAAACACCATAAGATGGTGACAAAGGAGCGTCACCATCTAAACATGGATAATTAACAATAGAAAATGAAAAATCATCTCTTTTATCATAAATTTTGGTATTAAGCTTCCCGTTAAAGATATAGATATCAAGATCCAGGAAAGGGCAGTGTGCATTGTTAGTATTAGCTTTATTTAAAGTCAGTTCGGCAGGGTAAATCTCTTAAGTGAACATACTGAAGTTGTCATTATTGAGAGCCAATTGTCATCTAACTATCTAAAAGTGTTATTAAATTTTTGAATCAGATGTTGTTTCGATGGGTCTTTCCTGATTTTAGTCATACATTGTAACTCATAGCAATACAGAAACAGGTCCGCAATAAGTGGTGCACAATTAGTCCCCATGGGAATTCCGATAACCTGACGATATACGGAATCTCCATAAGCGAACAAAAATGTTATCTAGTAAAAATTCAAGGGCAGTTATAGTATCAAAGCAGGTCTAATTGACATAGTTCTTTTGTTTGTTGTTATTAAAAATGACCTAAAAGAATTTGAACATATATATTCGCATTACGACTTTTTAAATGCCCATTTAATCAGGTGTGTGATTTTTTTCTTAATAAGATTATGAGGCAAAGTGGTATATAGGGTACATTTACATTTGTTTGCCGAAAGGTCGCGGCGAACACTGGTGAACAACTTTCAGGTCTTCTGGCAAAATGAAAAGATTGCCGCAAGTTTGCTGCAACCTTATTGCTCTTTTCATTAGGGGAAGAAGTCACAAATTTTTCATATAGAATTTTTATTACAGTAAAGTATTTATTTTTGCTACGTACAAGTTCATAGTTTTTATGGTACCAGCAAAAATGTATTTATAGTAAAATACTAGTTATAATATTATAAAACATTAAAAATAAAAAATTGCAACTAAGCCACGACTAAACAAACAAACTGTGAAATTTGGATGCTTGGACAACTGATAGATTTTAGTATGCTGATAAATTCACATTGAACGAATAAATTGCAAGAATACATAGTAGATAAAACTAAGCCATAATAAGTTTAACCTTTCCAGAAAGGTATGGAGTGCTTTGAAGTACATGTATCATAACATTTTCGTCAGCTTTTGTGTTTGAGTTTTGTGATTTCATGGTTATTATGTAATGACAGATGATATGATATTAACATTATACATATATTCCTTGGCGAGTTCTTGATAAAAAAATCAAAACTTTGAACAGATTCGAAATCACCAATATAAGCATGCAATTTATCAAGTACTTCCAACGAATTTTTGACACTCCAAAAGTAATTAATTCCACTATTTTCAAAGGCCTTATTTGAACAATTTATTACCAGGTTTTTTATTGTACCAAGTGTACTAGTAATTATAATAGATAGTTTAGTAGTGGAACCATATTAACAGAATGATAATTAAAAATACCGGCAATATTTACAAAATCAAAACCTTTATTGACATGGAATTTTCAGAAAAATCTGACAACCCATTTTGAAGTCATTGCCACTGAAATGTCATTTTTTAGAAAACGTACAAGTTTATGATTTTTCTCAAAACTTGAGAAGTTAGAACAAATCCGACATAGAGTTAAAATGACCAGCAAGGTTTATCTCCTATGGATTCTTTTTTTTTGGGGGGGGGGGGGGGGGGGAGGGGGGGATCAGATGACCCAAATGTAATTTGTCAAAAATATAGGTTTGGAGGTAGAGAGAAACTTTAAAGTGAAAAAAAGATCAGCAAAGTAAGAATGGCTAGAAAGTCAATATGGCCAAATTGTTTACCAGATGAGAGATTCAGGCCTCTTCTTTACTGATAAATGGACTTAATTTTTTTGGCGTACAGTATAAGGTTAACGTTTTGTAATAATAATCAATAATCAATAATTTTGTCAAGGCAGAGGAAAAAATAAAAAAAATGCTATTTTGCCAGCTCTGATTAATAGATTTTAATTAAAGCCGGCAAAATATCATATCTCTATAGCAATGGCTATTTTGCCGTTGCTGGCAAATATAGTTATTTAGTTATTTTGACGGTTCTTTGTAAAGAATGAATTTAATATTTACTTTTGAAAAGTATTATACGAAAATCGTCATTGTTACATTTAGTTGACACATTCAACAATACCTACCCATGCTACCGTTATCTTGATATTTTTTCATTAAGTAATCCAGAATTCTCTAAATATACTACCAAAATTTACCCAAAGGAACTTACTTTAAATAAATTTAACATAAACAGCAGTAGTTGTCCTTTCACTATGTGATCCGTGTAAACTTGTCGAACCTTTAAACAAACTTATTAGTAAAAGTTATCTTATTAATGTTGTAATAAGATCTTTGAATATTGCTTTCATTGACACTAACATCGATTTTGTCATCAACAAATTAAAACATAACTAAATTTGTATTCTTTTCGAATGGTTATTTTGTGATGTATATATTATACACATCCACGTTTATTTTCTATTTAGAAATTGTTTTATCTATACATAACATCATGCATATTATTATAAGGTTAAATCCTAACTATCCTACTGCCTGTCGATACTTTTATTTTGGCATTGCACAAGTCATTTCTTCTTTGACTGTCCATGGCGTTAAAACACCAAATCCCTGCCTGGGATGTATATTAATGGTTTTTGGCTTTAAACTAGCTTTCTTTACTTGTTTTTGTGTATTGTCTTTTTGATCGAGTTAAGCCATTTCAAATGATATTTATTGTGTGTCTTTTTTCATGTTGTAATGTTATACCACTGTTTCAGGTTAGGATGAAAGTTGGCGCCTGTTAAAACGTTTAATATAAAATTGAGAATGGAAATGGGGAATATGTCAAAGAGACAACAACCCGAACAAAGAGCAGACAACAGCCGAAGGCCACCTATGGGTCTTCAACGCAACGAGAAAATCCCACGCCCGGAGGTGGTTCTCAGCTGGCCCCTAAATAAAATTGTGTACTAGTTCAATAAAAATGGACGTCACACAAAACTCCAAAACATATAAATGAACTAAAATTAAAAATTATACAATACTAACAAAGGCCAGAGGCTCCTGACTTGGGACAGGCGCAAACATGCGGCGGGGTTAAACATGTTTTGTGAGATCTCAACCCTCCCCCTA